TCCACAAAACCAGAAATCAAAGAATGTTGGACGGCCCATCAGCCCTCCAATCCCGCCTCATCCTTCGATTGTTCAACGTCGCATGGAATTGCTTACATCCGATATGTTGATGAGGTCGCTTACTCTAGTGACTCGCGGTCAGCATGACCGTGCTCACCACCTTCTCACCGAAACTAGGAGTATTCTCAAGGGTCTCGGGAAGGGAGGTTTGCCGCCGCTACCACCGGGAGCTATCCCAACACCAAACCCGCGAGCCACTCTCACCCCCACTCTCACTCCTGCATCCGAAGCGCACTCCCCTGGAAACTACTCCCCTCATTTCCCGGATGCTCTTGATTGTCGTGCTTCCTCCCACTCACCTGAAGCGCCAACCATTACTCCTGTTGCTGCTGTTGATTCTGCAATTATATCAGCATTGGATGCCGATCTTGAGGCTGCTCTAGAATGGATCACCCACCCTGCTGTTTTCAGCCGCGATTCACGCAAGGCAGTTCTTCAAGCTATTGGCGTCATTTCCTCACAACGAGGATACACTTTCCGAACCCCCTCTGAATCACTATGGGCAGAGCGCATCCCAGGCGTGAAGCGCTTGACTGAGAAATCCCGAGAGTGGCGTGAGGTTGGTGATGAATCCTTGGCCGAAGAATAGGCAGGAAGCGAATCTACCAACTCCGAAATAGGTGCGAAGCACCGTTCTATCCTCGCTGCCCTTTGGGTTATATACAACACATACACCACCCACTATCTAATGCGTAATGTTGCCCTCCACTCTTTTTGTTCTACACCCTAACTCACCCTATATCATGGGTGTGGGTACATTTTTAATTGCTTATTATACCCAACCTTTATACAATCATATTCTACGACGTTTATTCTGGATATATCTGACGGTGATGCCCCTTGATTTATGTTTTCCATCTTTCATTCTTAATGTCGAGAACTGGTTAGTTGTCTTTCGGGTTTTGAGGTTGATGTGGCTTTTTGTCTATAGCTCGTCATTCATTATATATATCTGCATGGTTTTGGGGTATAGCTTATGTGGCGTTGGGTTACAATCTGCTTATAGAACGAATCAATTCTGATATTTTAGACTTGGCCCCATTTTCATACGTTAATCGGTCGAGTGAAAAGTTCACTCTGGCAGCCGATTTCTATTTCAGAAACTCAGTGCTATAAGTGTAAATTCTAACGTAGATTATAAAGATTCTTGCCAATGTCATATTGTACATAAGAAGAGACTTCGAAACAACCAACTGCCTCTTAGCCTTGTCTTTAAACACCTGCTTCCCATACCCTACATAACAACTTGGGAAAGCAAAGCAAATAAAAAAATAAACACGGTGGGCCTAGTAATACAAGCAGCGAGCCAGCCTGAAACAAAGATATAGGAAACCACCTGTCCTGCTACTTACTCCATGGAGGCAACGGCACCCAGAGCCTTCAAAGAAGCAACAATCTTCTCAGCCTCCTCCTTGGGGACAGACTCCTTGATAACTTTGGGAACACTTTCGACAAACTTCTTGCTCTCCACGAGGGAGAGTCCAAGCATGGACTTGACTTCCTTGATAATCTTGGCCTTGGAGGCAGCATCAAAGGACTCGAGCTTGAGGTTGAACAAGGTCTTTTCTTGCGCAGCTGGGGCAGCCTCTTCTTCTTCTGCAGCAGCAGCCGGAGCAGCGGCTCCTCCAGGGGCGGCAGCAGCGAAACCCCCAACGGGCAGGTCAGGAATGTTAAGGCGGGTCTAATTAAGGAAAGCTTGAGTTAGCATGTAGAATTCCGGAATGGGAGTGCCTGCCCTCTATCATTTTTCATTCTGATAGATAAGAATAGCACTACTGGGTTAAACTGCGCATGTAGACCGAGCAACCTCACCTTCAAGCTTGAAACTAAATCAGCGGTCTCAAGGAGTGTCAATTGGCTTATTTGGTCGACAATCTTGGTAATTTTTTCGCTGGTAGGTGCGGCTGGCTCAGCGGTCGTGGACTCATATCTTCTTCGCTGTGAGATGTATGATGTGCTAGTGTTCAACCGAGTGATCTGAGAGGAGGTGCGAACAGGGGCAGAGGCTGAGGAGGAGAGGCGGACAGCACTTCGGCAGCATCGAGTTGCGAAAGACATTTTTGTAGGAGTTTGTCGAAGCTTGGAGAGTGAGAAAAAAAAAAATTCTACCGTAGGCGGAAGGCAGGTAAGTGTCCGAACCGGGCAAAGATGAGAGTTTGACGATGAGTGATTGACTCCAATAGACGGGTTGGACGTGAGTAGAGAGGCCGCGAGGAGGCTGTGTAGCTCAATTGCCGTTTTCTGCGTCTTCTGGATAGAAAATATTTGATCTTGATAATAATTTGATGCTGTGAAAGTCTGCTAGGCTATCACGTGACTGAGTTTGAGCTTCTATGGCTGTTAGACCTAAAAAGGAAACATTAGAACCAACCGACAACCGACAACCGACAACGATCGAGGTTGCTGGATTCAAGGAATTAGAGGTTTGCAGGTTTTATCCTAACAGGAGCATAGATTCTAGAGAGTCACTGCACGAATTCTCATTTCTGCGTCATACGAATCATAGACTTTTTATTCGTGAATGGCCAATTAACTAAGGCAAGGAAGAGGGCCTTACGATTAATTAAAATATCTATTGAACGCAAACATTGCCCGTCCCGGGCGAAGATGCTTACTCTATTTTTAACCAGAGATACTGTACCATATGCCTCGTATGTCAGTAGTTTAATCTTCATCCCAGTTAGGGTTTTGGCCCGGTGGCTTGGGACCACCAGCCTGTCTGGCGACAATAATCTGGTCCACGCTGAGAATTGTTCGTGCAGACTCAGAACCCAGCCGGATGGCCCACGACTTGGAAACAAGAAGGTCAAGAATCTCCTCCTCCACGGCATCGATGGTTCCAGATGGGGATGAGGCAAGAACATCAACTCCAGTGGTCCAGTTGGGATCCTCTTCTTCAGAGCTCTCTTCCTCTTCCTCGTCATCCTCCTCCTCCTCCTCCGATTCCTTAGCTGTCTCTTGGTGAGCGGTATACAACCTAGAGAGAACTTCAGTGGCATTGAGGCCGGCTGATTCAGCAAGGGTTCGTGGGATGACCTCAAAGGCTTCAGCATACTTTCTAATGGCATGCTGGGCAAGTCCAGGGGTTCTATCGGCAAACTGAGTGAGCCGTTCAATCAGCTGCATCTCTGTAGCCCCGGCTCCAGGTACCAACCGTGGGTCCTTAGCCACAGCCTTCACTGCATTCACGCCGTCATCAATGGCGCGCTCAACATCTTCCAGGTAGTTTTGTGTTGCTCCTCGAAGAATGATAGTAGAGGTGCGACTAACAGATCCGGCATCTTCTTGTCTGAAAATCGTTACACGATCACCCCCAATCTCCATAGTCTCAACAACATCAACATTTCCCATCTCATCTGGCATAGGGGCACCAAGGCGGGCCAGGGGGGTGGCTCCGATGACACGGCATAATCTGCGTAGTTCAAACTTGGACATAACCTTTATCACAAGAATATTGAATCGGTTTAGGTAGTGAAGGGCCAGTTCTCCAACAGTGGAGCCAGCGACGACAACGCGGAGGCCTGAATCATAAAGTTCCTTAATAGCAGCTTCAAGGCGACTCTCTTCTCCTTTTGTGAAGTCAAGCATTTCCTTTGCATTGTGTAGAAGGACTGTTCCCTTGGTTTCTGTTTGGGATATATCGATCGGGCAGCTGAAGACACCAACTTTCGCTTTCTTGGCCTTCTTAATGGAGCCTTCTGGTTCACGGGCGAAGACCATACCCTTAACAACACGCGATTGTTCCAGACTTCCTCCCATAATTTTGACCACACGGACGTTGTCGACATTAAAGTTAGCGGGATTCTTTGGGAGAACGCCCAAAACGGCCTCGGCCACCAGCGGGGCAAGGATTTCCTCAGACCCAGACTGCTTGCTTCCAATAACCGTCTTTAGGGCCTTCCCGAGCTCAGGGGCAGAGCGCATTTCCTTTAATCTATCCACTTCGAGTTCTATGTAGTAGAAATTGTAGCGTTAGCAAACAGGCAGCCGGCATGTCCAAGGCGGGAAGGATCATAGAGAACAGTAAACAACAGATGTCCATGCCCGAGGAGGAACCTGCAGAGCTTACCTTCTAGAGTACTGAGAGCAAAACCCTGTGCAATCTCGTACCCCTGAACGATATCACTCGTCTTCAACCCCATCCGTAGGAGATCCTCCGCCTTTCGTAGAAGCTCGCCAGCGAGGATAATAACCATATTTGTAGCATCTCCCATCTCCGCCTCTTGCTGCTGACTGGCCATAACCAGGAGTTTAGCAGCAGGGTGGACGACATCCAGCTCTCGCAGGATTGTGGCAGCATCAGATGTAAGAATCATCTTCTGCAAGTGGTTGATAACAATCTTATTCCGGCCATGAGGCCCAAGAGAGGTCTGGACAGTCTGGGCAATGGCTCTGCATGCCTCGATATTTCGAATAACCGCGCCATCTTCGGAGTCGTGGCTATATAAACAGTTAGTGGGCATGCTACCTAACGCACATATCCAGCCAAAGCTCGCAAACAAAAATAAAATAAAATAAAATGAGAATTCAAAAGACTGAAGCGAAAGTACCTCTGATAGCCCTGCTTGAACAGGCCAGCATTGGGCGCCTTGGGAATCGTCAACGACATCGCTCGTGGTGTCTCTGGTGTCAAGCCGTTGGGATGCTGCTTCGTCCTGTCTGTCTCTCTGTCTGCTGCTGGCTGGCTGGCTGGCTTGCCCCCCTCGTCCCTCTTTTTTGATGCTTTTTCGCCGGTCGCCCTCCTAAGCTCCGTCTGGGAAAGTTTGCACTGTTTGGCCAGGCTGATGACATAAGCAGGAAAAAGGCCCAACAACTTTCTGCGGCCGAAACAAACTGAACGACCTCAACAAGTCCTCTGTGCTGCCTTCTATTGACCATCTCCAATCTCCCCGTTGCTGCCTGCTGCTCGTCCACACAGCAGTATCCAATCGTCAATTGAGATGTTCTCGAGACTTATCCGGGCCCGTGGCGTCGCCCAAGTTGGCAGACAGCCCTCGACACAGCTGTTTCGCCGCTCTGTGACCACCGACGCTGCCTCCGCCCACGCGGAGGATATTCCAGTCGTACGCATCCCAGGGTTGCCAATTGAGCGGATACATGCTAGTAGAAAGAGTGCTGACCATTAATTTGCGGGATTGCAGGAAGATGACAAGCCCTTCTCAGTCAAGCTCTCCGACGAGAGTTTCGAGACTTACGAGCTCGACCCTCCTCCATACACCTTGAAGACAACCAAGAAGGAGCTCAAGCAGATGTACTACGACATGGTATCGATAAGGTAAAGATGCATCAGCTCTCCTTGTGCGCTAAGTATGGGGCATGTCTAACCTTTAACTTCTTTCCCCAGACGTATGGAGATGGCCGCGGATCGACTTTACAAGGAGAAGAAGATCCGGGGATTCTGCCACTTGTCAACTGGCCAGGAAGCCGTCGCTACTGGTATTGAGCACGCCATTACCCCAGATGACAAGCTCATTACTGCCTACCGATGCCACGGATTTGCCATGATGCGCGGTGGCACCGTGCGCTCGATTATCGGCGAGCTGCTTGGTCGCCGTGAGGGAATTGCCTACGGAAAGGGAGGATCTATGCATATGTTTGCTAAGAACTTCTTTGGTGGTAACGGAATCGTCGGTGCTCAGGTACCCGTTGGCGCTGGCCTTGCCTTTGCTCAGCAGTACAACGGCGAAGCAAATACCACCATCTGTCTGTACGGTGATGGAGCATCCAACCAGGGCCAAGTTTTCGAAGCTTTCAACATGGCTAAGCTATGGAACCTCCCCGTCATATTTGGCTGCGAGAGTACGTTTCAGATTGTGTTTTATCCTTTTCTTGGTATGTTGTGTTGTGGCCGTATTAACACTTTTGACTTATAGACAACAAATACGGAATGGGAACCGCTGCCAACCGCTCTTCCGCTCTAACCGACTACTACAAGAGAGGACAGTATATTCCCGGTATCAAGATCAACGGAATGGACGTTCTTGCCATCAAGGCTGCCGTCCAGTATGGCCGTGAGTACACCGTCAGCGGTCAGGGTCCTCTAGTCTTCGAATACGTCACCTACAGATACGGTGGTCACTCCATGTCTGACCCCGGCACCACCTACCGTACTCGTGAAGAAATCCAGCGCATGCGCAGCACCAATGACCCCATTGCAGGACTCAAGCAGAAGCTGCTTGACTGGAACATCACCTCCGAAGAGGAGCTCAAGGCCATTGACAAGGACGCCAGATCGATGGTTGACGAAGAAGTTGCTATTGCCGAGAAGATGCCTGTTCCAGATGCTACTTCGCGTATCTTGTTCGAAGACATCTACGTCCGTGGCAGTGAGCCCAAATGGATGCGTGGCCGCACCGCTGATGAGACCTTCTACTACTAAATTACGCACCTTCGCGCCCTCACACAGAGATTTCTTCCGCCTTCTTTCCTACTCCTCAATTCCCTTCCCCGACCTTTTCTCTTTACGCATTGGGTTGTCGTGGCTCATCCGGCCTTCCCTTTGTGCTGTAACACTGGTTCTTTTCTTTTTACGTGTGTAATTTAGATTCAAAATAGCGCCCTACGGACCTTTCCCCGTCTTCATCCTCACCATCCAACCACCCCTTTCCCACTTCTCTATGCCCCCGTTTTTACATCTTCCTCCACCACCATGATATATACACCTACCATCTCATTACCGTGTACTTTTTTGATCCTTGACTACCACATAGCTACTCAAATGGGGATTAGAGCAGGAACAAATGCTGAATTAGATCCTTCATTGATCGCTCTTCATATCTATTTGAATCCTAATCCTAAGCCTGTCCCATCCAGACCAACCAAGCCGCCAGCCGAACCACTCGCTAACAATTAACTAACGTTCCGACAAACAACAAGAGGGTTAAGAATAAAGAGAAGAAACGATGGTAGAATTGGGCCATGGAACTAAATTTCTCTGGTCCAATCTTCCCCATCTGAGCCCGTTCCAATTCCAGTTCCAATATACAAGAGGAAAAAATGATATAGAAGGGAAAAATAAGGTAAGCAAGGGGGAAAGGAAGCAGGAAGCAGAAAGCAGAAAGCTAGCAAGAAAACAAGGTCTAATATCGTCCCCCAATTTGGCACACGATCGCAATCGCGGAGAGCAGTGGTGTGTAGATTTATAGGTACAGTTATCCATCATGATTTTTCATGGCGTTAGAATGAAAAAAACAAGTATGGAAGCAGAGAGGAAACGGTCGCTAGAAGAACGAGACAAAGCAATTTGATCGTAAGATGTCGAAAGGGGTGAGGAACGGCGAGGAGGAGAGAAGAGAAAAAGAGAGAGATAAAAAAAAACAAAGATGAAATCCTAAGGCAAACCAAAGTCCTTCCAAAGAAATGTAAACCAGACCGTTGAAAGAGAAAAAAATGAAATACGATGATAAGATAAATAGCCCCTTTAATGTATAACAGCAGAGATAGAAAAAAAGATCCCGATGAGTATATGGCATATAGATGCAAATAGGAGGAAGGAAAGTGTAGGATGAGAGCGATAGGGGTGGAAGAGAGTAGAGCAGCAAAGCAAAAGGAAACGCCCAGTCCAAGCGGTAAGTAAAACCCAGTTTTTTTATTGAGGTATAAGCGTAGAAAGAGCCACATTCCATATGCAAAAGACAGGGTGATGGGCGAATACCAATATCACCAGGTGACCAAAAAAAAAAATAATATAGAAAAAAAATAAGAACGATATAAAAATTGGCATAGAGGGGAACTCAGTCAAATCATTTCATGAAGCGCTGGTCATTCAACAGGCTGAGAATCATCTCTTGCGTTCGCTGCACTGAAGTAATTTTTTCTTCGAGTTGCGAGCGTTCCTTCTCCAACTGCTCACGAAACTCCGCCCGTAGCTCAGTGCGGATCTGGTCTATGGTTGAGACCGATATGGACTGGGCCACGGCAGATGCAGCGGCAGAGACATCAGCCATATAAACATCTGTTAGGTTGCCGTTAGCAGTAGAGGCTCCGCTGACGCCGGTGACAGGTACGCCCGGGTTAGCTGGATTGGAGCCACGAGCACCAGGGCCGCTTTGATGAGGGTGGTGCTGTTGGTGGGTATCAGTTATAGAGACAGAGACGGGGACAGAAGGGGAATTGAAAGGTCGGCGGGTGGAAGAGTTTTCAGCAGCAGACATTAGCATGGCGGTGGAAGGAGAGAGGTTTGGATTTCGAGATATAGCTGCCTTGGGGGTATTGTTAAGACGTGAGATGGCTTTCAGGGTGGCTGCGGAGACATTATTGGGATCCGCCTGTGGAGAGGACGAGGAAGGATTGCTAGCCGTGGGCGCGAGGAGGTCGGGGGTGCCAGCATTAACAGGGTGGGCATGAGGGTGTTCTGCACCATTGTTGGTAGGAGTGCCATTGAACATGGTTCCAAATCCCATGGGCAATTGTATCTCAGCTTGCTGCTGCTGGGGGGTATGCTGTTGTGACTGCTGTTGTGTAGCTGGAGGTGGTTGAGGAGTAGGGGGTTGGTGATTCTGGGTATCGAGGTTTGCAGGATCAACTGCCATGGACTTCCTTTTTCGACCTCTCTTGCCTTGCTTTGCACTTATTCTTTCTGTCTCTTGTTGCTGAAACCGTCTCCAGACCGGGACCCAGGCATCTACGGCGGCACTCCAAGCGGCGTCTGCCTGGTCGTCCCCGCGTTTCCCACCCATGCCGTTTAAAAACTTGATGCGTTGCTGTGTGACGAATTCGACTTTCCGGCGGACGCTGTGCCATGAATATGGATGACCCTCTATCCGGTTGAATTCCAGAGTTATAGCCATCCACCATTCACAAAGCTTGTTACGCTCGCCAAAAGTGTCTGCGTGACGATTACATATTTCGAATAAAGCGGTTTCTTCGCGAGTGGTAAGGCGTTTACCATGTTTCCGCGGTGCATTGCCTTCAAGAACTGCTATTTCGGCATCGTTTTCTTCTTGTGAAACGGTTGCGGGTACTGGAACGGGTACAGGGCGCTCCCAAGCCGGCTGGGAGGCTGAAGACTGTTGTGACGGTTGAGGTTGTGCTTGTTGCTGTTGTTGCTGTTGCTGCTGTTGCTGCTGTTGTTGCTGCTGAGCTGCCGCTGCCGCGGCCGCTGCTTGTTGTTGCTGAGGTTGGGGGGCGGGCGTTTGGGTATGTCTTTGTTGCTGCTGATGTTTTCGTTTTTGGCTCTGGTGCTGCGCCTGCGCATGTGCATGTTGCTGTAAGCTGTGTTGCTGCTGAGCTTGCTGCTGGTCTTGGTGATGTTTTTGCTGGGGGGTGGGTTGGGTTTGCGGTGTTTGGTGTTGGTGTTGTTGTTGTTGCTGCTGCTGCTGCTGCTGCTGAGCCTGAGCCTGAGCCTGCTGCTGCTGTTGAACTTGTTGTTGTTGGTGTCTCTGCCGCTGATGGTGGTTTTGAAGATGTTGGTGCTGGAGATGTTGTTGCGGTAATTGGTGAGGATGCTGCTGAGACTGTGGCTGTGGATGTTGTTGCTGGGAGAGAGAGTGAGTCAACTGGTGTGAGTGTTGACGAGATAGAGCCTGTTGCTGTTGTTGTTGTTGATGGTGCTGTTGCTGTTGCTGCTGCTGAGTCTGCGGAAGAGTTTGATGAGGTTGTTTCTGCTGCGGGATATGATGCTGCTGTTGTTGCTGCTGCCGCCGTCGAGCAGCAGCCTGATGTTGCCCATGTCCGTCATGCGGTCCCCGTACGCCCGATAAATGAACCTCCTGCCCATGCAACACAACCTTCCCGTCCGCGTCTTGGTCCGTAAACGGGTTCTCCCTCAGGCTGGGGCTCTCGGACGTCGTCACGTCTCCACCACTATGTGGGTGCGGCTGTTGCTGCTGCTGTTGCTGGTGGTGCTGATGGTGCTGACTCGGATGATGATGCTGTTGTTGCTGCTGCGGCTGAGGTGTCGGTACCGGCTCGTGGTGCGGCGTAGGGATGGGATAGTTAACGGCA